CTCAGTATAAATAGATACAACTCACATAAACAAAAGCTCTTTGAGATTCCAATAAATTTTAAGAATATAATGACGTTCTAAGACCAAAAAATTAAGTACCACTGACTGTACAAGAGATAAATGACCACATACACACAAACACACACACACACAAAGCAACCTCTTCCTACCTCTGCTCTGAAAGACCATTACTGCTATTTATACCACAGAAATTTCTAACAGTTCAAACTCTCTAGTGACAAGTAAAGCAAGTCTGGTGGGGGTAAAACTAGACAGGAAATAAAAGGCAAAGAAATTAAATGCTTCCTTTTCAGCTAGAAGGCTGTCATTCTGATTGGAAGGCAAAATTCTAGGCAAGTAGAGATGTTTCAAAATTAACTAACCTTCATGTTTATGCCATAAGCAATAATTTAATGCTTTCACACTATCCCCACAGCTGCTTGAAAATTCATACAAATCCCTAATTTATTTAATACCAAAGCTAGATTCTCAGAGGTTGATATACATATCTTCAGTGAAAATTTGAAATTATTTCATATTACCTTCATCCTCAAACTGTTAGCCTACCAGTGTTAAACCCTATGTAGAAAATGCCATACTTGCATACTAAAAAGAAAATGCAAAGCTTACTACAGATAAAAATAGAATTAATTTCTGAGTCATAAAATTCCTCACAATTTCTTTAATCTATAAAGTAAAAATCTTTTATTCAACAACCTCAAAGTGACCAACTTAATCTAAAAAGAAAGAAAAATTCAAAAACAGACCAACTTTATCAGCTCTATTTGCAGCCCTTTTACCCTGAGATATACTGCTCAAATTGAGAAACAATTAAGTCTAATATTAGAGAAAAGGCTGTGTAAGTTAACTCATTTGTTTAGTGCTGGAAATTCTTTCTTGTCCATCAAAATGATTTTGTAACTCAGTACCAAACGGCCAGTGACCATTTAACTAAGCTTTTAGGGAGGCTCTGGGTCCTCCAGCCTCCAAGCTGGCATCTTTTATCTAAATTACTTCATTTTTCAGGTATGTTTAGCATCTAGTCATCCTATAATAAAAAGAACCCTTATGAGAAAAAAAAACCACTCCTGTTTCAATGCTATTTTTTCATCAGAAGATTTTAATTTAATGCTCCTCTGCTTATTCCTCACAAGTAAAAGAAGTCCAAGAGTGATGTCATGGAAAACAGCTTCCCTAGCCTTTAGAGATTGGATCCAGTGAGAATTCTAGGAAAAGCCTCTACTGGGGAATAAAACCCCAAATCTTCTAAGTTACTTTCTAACATGAAATCATCAATATTATAATGTTAACATCCTAGTTTTACACAAGAAGTAAACAACTAAACTGAACCTTCTAGAAGGTCTTGATGTTATGATACGGATTTCCTGTAAATCTTTTAAAGTGATGCAGAATCATTAACTAAATTCAATGATCTTATCAGAGACAAAGAATAAATCTTCTATTCGTTTCTATCTGCTTCAATGATTCAGCCAGATGAATTTTAAAGGGCTTATATTAAAAACAAAGTCTGCGGAAATATCTTGCCTTTTCTAGTTTCTTTATTCCAAAGTTAAAATTTTTAATTCTGAAAAGGCCTCCCACTTTCAGACCAGCAGCAGTATGTATGTATGTGTGTGTATATGTGTATACACACACACACATGGCCAAGATGAACTATCAGAGTTTCTCCAGTGACTCCTGGAACAGCAGTAATAAATAATAATTATCTCTTAATTCCTGCCCCAGACACACCAGCCTCTTTGCTGCTGCTTGAAAACCAGTCACACACCCACCTTAAAGCCCCTAAAATTGGTGTTCCCTCTGACTGGATCACTAATCCCAACATATATGGCTCCCTTTAAGTCTTTACTCCAGTGTTTTATCTTGGTGAGGCATTTCCCTGCAACCCCTCTTTAAAAGAGAAAACCACCCACCCACCCTATGCAACAGAAAATCTTCCCTTTCCTTTTCTGTTTTATTTTTCTACACAGTATACTAAATGAGATACAGGCTATATTTCTTATTCAGTTTATTTTTCTGTTGTTTCTTTTCTTTGTTTTGTATTCACTGTTGTATTCCCAGAACCTTTCTAGGAACGCTGCTTGGCACATAAGAAGTGCTTAATAAATACTTGTAGGATGAATAGATAAGTTTAACTCTCACAACCCTCCATGTTCTGTAACCATCCCTGATTTAGAGATGAGAAAAATCAAAACTCATGGGGGTTAAGTAACTTGCCCAAGGCTATGATACCTAATAAGATGGGGCCAGTCTGACTTCAAAGCCTTGGAGTTTAACCACTATCCTGCAATCTTTCACCAATAACTGCCTTTCATGTCGCTTCAGTAAAAAACAACAACAACAAAAAACACTACATCAGGACTTCCCTGGAGGCGCACTGGTTAAGACTCCGCGCTTCCAATGCAGGGGGTGCAGGTTCGATCCCTGGTCTGAGAACTAGGATTCCACATGCAGTGTGGCATGACCAAAATTTTTTAAAAATTAGGGGGGGCGGGAAGTCCACACGGGCTGAAAGTGAAAGTCGATCACTCGCATCCGACTCTCTGCGACCCCATGGACTGAATTCTCCAGGCCAGAATACTGGAGTGGGTAGCCTTTCCCTTCTCCAGGGGATTTTCCAAACCCAGGAATCGTACCCAAGTCTTCCGCATTGCAGGCGGATTCTTTACCAGCTGAGCCACAATGGAAGCCCAAGAACACTGGAACGGGGTAGCCTATCCCTTCTCCAGCGGATCTCCCCCCCCCCCCCGCCCCAGGAATCGAACTGGGGTCTCCTGCATTGCAGGCGAATTCTTTACCAACTGAGCTATCAGGGAAGCCCACACGGACTACAGCATTCCAATTCAAAGGGAACATATTCTAATAAATTAATCCAACCCCTCCTAAACTACAGATTCATTCTCCTCACAGTTTACGTTTTTCACTCTCAAATTAAAATAGGAAAAGGCAAATTTGACAACTGACTTGCTACATAATTTGGGGAGCCCAAGGCAAAATGAAAATGCAGGACCCCTTGTACAAAAGCTGGAAAAAAGTGTCATTAAAGGTACTAAAGTAGTTTTAAAAAAAGTACTAAAGTATAAAGCTTTCTCCTTTCTTCTGAGGTCTCTCTCAACATATCATGGTGTTCTTTTAATTTGCTGTTTAATGCATTCTAAGTAAAGATAAATCAGAAATTTACATTATTATGATGAATTTTACTGTTCACCTTTATACTGTACAATACCAGTTTTACGCACTGATTATTAAACCAAGTTTGGGGTTCTTCTGGACAACCATGAAGCCACACCAGTCCTGGTTCCAAAATTTTAGCCCCAGGTAACCCAGATCAAGGCAAAGAGATGGCCAAACTTTGAAATTCCCAATAAAGCAATGATTTGCCAAAATTTTATCTTCAGGACAAACAGTAAGTCCAACGTATAAAAGCTAGCACATTAAAGTAGGCTCTTCCTTTTGCTAATTTAATCCTGCCGCCTTATATTATTCTGCCTTTTTTAAAAAAACAAAAGCATATTCAGAAAGACAATCGGTATGGAATATAAATTTAATAAAACATTTCAGGAAAAAAACTCAGAAAACCCATTTATTAACTAAAACTAACTATATATTTTTAAAAGCTTCTCTTTCACTTTTTATGACCCATTTTAAAAAACCAGACCATATATTTTTAATGTGTCAAATAAGAATGATCCCATACTGTTACACATATATATTATAAATTTTGATAAAAAATTCCGATTTTCAACCCACAAGTATTTATGGCTTATGTATTTCATTATCCCCCCCAAGCTAATCAGCAATAAAAAGTGCACATTAACATCCCTCACCATAGAAAAACTGATTCTAAGCACCAACTAAGTGTGGTGATGAATAAAAAGAGAATTAAATTACATAAACACTACATTAAGTGTCAAAAAGCTGAGATTTTTCTATACATTTCTAGATCTATTAGTTACAGAAATCCGAATGGATGTATAAGCTCTTCCAAAAACAATTTTCAAATTAGTAGAGATATTCAGGCATCTTGTTTCCTAGATATGAAAAATAAGCAATAAAAATTAAGGTATATATCTTAACAGCATTTTCCAAATGACAATTTTATCAAGATATTAATCTTGAAAAGAAAAATGTAAATTCGAAAAATAGAAAAGACTCAACAAATGCAAGGTGTTTAATATTCCGAGTAAGCAAAAGGGCATAAGCGGCCTAGAAAAATGAAAAGCAAAGCACCTCAGAAACGTTAAATTTGAATTAAAGAATACCGTTATTTAAATAAGCAGTTAGCATTTCGGAGGAAGAAGGCCAAGCAACGTGACTATATCTAATCGATTCAGAGCAGCGCTTTACTAATTTCCGTCCTTATCGCTTATACTTATAATATAGGAAAAAAGAGGCAGCAACAGTTAGCCACTACAACATTCACCACTCTGGCAAAGGTTACTTTAAAAATTGCCTTGCATTTTTACAACACTTTACAGCTACGGATTATTTTCACATATATGACCTCATACAGTCCTCACTACCCTGTGATGTGGCTATTACCGACTCGATTTCATAGATAAGAAACCGAGGTTCGGTAAGCGATTTTCTCAGAGTCACCTAGTCGAACCCAGACCTTCTGATTCCGCGTTTTATGCCTCGCATTTCGCATAGTTCTATTTCAGGCAAAAATAGCATTTTTAAAGGGAAGGAGCAGGATAGGGAGAAAATAATCATGGTACCTGCAGCTGTGTGCTGCAAAAAATGGCTGAATTATGCTTCTTCCTTTTTTTTTTCTCCTTGGGAAAAAAAAATAAGATTTCAAACAATCTAAGTAAACTCAAAGACAAATTAGATCCCGGCGTCAACGAAATGTGCGACTGGGGTCAGTGCAGAGGGGCTACAGAATCCGAGCCTAGCGCGGAGCCGCGGACGAAGCCCGGGCTCCCGCAGGCCGGAGGGCCAGGGGCGGCTACGCACCTCGGGGGTCTGTCCAGCCTCTAGTGGACGGCAGTCTGCATCAGGAAGAAGCGGGCCAACGGGCCGGACGGTGGGCGGTCGGGCGCCGGGACGGCACTCGGCAGGCTCCTCGAACGTCTACAAGAAGCCGCTCCAGGGCCGAGCCGGGGCGCTCTGGCGGGGGGCGAGACTGCGCGCCTGCGGCCCCCACGAAACCAGTCCTGGGAAAGAAGACAGCACTGAGGAGAGATTCGAGACAGTCGGGCGAGGCGGAGCGGCGTCGGGGCCGGGGCCGGCCTTGCCAAGGCCAGGGGCTTCGCAGCGCCTGGCGGGGTTCGGCGGGAGGGCCGACGCGGGGCCTCGGGCGGAGAGAGGGGCTGGGGGGGGGCCGCGGTTAGCAGAAGCACCGGCGGTGAAGTCGTCGACGACGGCGTCTCCGGGCTTCTGCCCCAGAGCGCGCGGAGCCTCAGGATCACCCACGCCGGGGGTGGAGGAAGGCGGGAAAGGGGCGGGAAAAGGGCGGAGCTTGCGGGGCCACGAGCCAGGGGCCGCTCCGGGCCGCGCGCCCCCTGCGGGCCGCGGGAGCCGCCCGGGGCCCGCCCAGGGAGGCGGGGCCCGCCGGCAGGGGGCCCCGTGCGCCGTCGTGCAACGCGGAAGCATGCCACGCGGGTAGGGCGGTGGAAGGGTGGGGAGCCGACAGTTGGAACGCAGGCCCGGGAGGCACCCTCGGCCCCCGCCGGCGCCTCGAGGGGGCCCGCGCGCGGGCAGCGGCCTGGAGGGTGTTTACCTTCCCTCTGGTCGAGCGCCAATGCCGCCATCTTTCAGCCAGTGCGCGTCACTTCCGGCGCCGCGGGAGCGGGAGCGGGTGTGGGAGCGGGATGGGGGCAGGGCTGTCCCACGCCCGCGGGGCCCCACGTTCTACCCGCCACGCCAGCGGACCTCACTGAGGGAATAAAGCGGTCGGCGCTGAGGCCGTGGGCCCGGCCCAACGCGGCTTCCCATGCGGCTTCGCCGTCGGGGCTGCGAACTCTCTGCAGTGTCCCACTAACCTCGCCGCGGTCCCACTTCACTTGCACGAGCGGTGGGCTCCAGCCACTGTGGTGCGCCCACCGTCCACAAGTTGAGGGTTAGGAAATCCGGAAAATGCCTTTTTGCATCTTGCACACGGTGGGGGTGGGGGACTCAGGGATGATATGGAGGGTGCTTTGCAGTGTCTACCTGTGTTATAAACGTGACTACATCTGCGCCAAATGACATCATTGTTTTCAAGGCAACTTGCAGCGGACTGTTGCGTCATAGATCCACTTGGCTAGTTGCACAACAGTTACACGGTTCAGAAGTACATTTCCCAGAGGTGAGAAAATTCATAGAAGCCGGCATGTCTGCACCACACAGAAATGCCGGATCTAAAAATGCTGTTCTGTTTCTATTTGCGTCAAAATAGATGGCAAGAACGAACATTCAGAGAGCAGTGATTTTAAGGTTGTTGTTCGTTTCTGACAAATTGGCTCTAGAGCTGTAGCTCGTGCTTTTTACATACCGCCTTCTCTTGATTTAATAATTTAAAACTGCATTACGGGACTGTTTTGTAAATTTATTGTTGTGAAATCTCTTATGTGGGAAAAGTGTAGATGACAGAAAAACACAGTTGGAAGCCAGTGGTTCTACAGTTAACCTTAAGTCATCCATTGCCCATTTCTGATCCTAAACAAATTTCTCTTACCCCCACCCCCCGCCGCCATTTTCTCTTCAGACCAATAAATATCCCGAAGAAGTCACAGTGAGATGTATGGCTGAAAGCGATCATTAATCTCTTTCTAGCAAACTTGAATATGTCATGTTTCCCAAGAGGCCAGAATAGCACACGGTGTACCATTTTGCTGAAGTAGTCTACTTCGTGGGAAAAAAATAAGAGAATCACTCTCATCTTTTGAAAATAGGGAAATACGCGTCCCTTTTCCAATTTAAAGTATAAAACCAGTTTTTAAAAACTGTAAGTCATAAAATAACTTTAAAACGGCATAGATTCAATTTTGCACATCCAAAAGCGCTGGATTTTGATTTTTGCACATTAGCTAACAGACATACATTTTTAACTATGCATTACGGAGTCGCACTGACCTGTCGGAGAGAGACTTCTGTTCCTTATTCAAGCGGGAACTGAAATGTATCTGTATTCTGAGTAGCAGGTGTACATATAACTGCAGTGGGTGAGATCATGAGCTGTTGTCTTCCACACCTTTTTTTTTTTTTAAGATTTATTTATTTATTTTTGGCTGTGCTGGGTCTTATTTGTTGCGTGGGCTTTCTCTAGTTTGGCAAGCGGGGGCTACTCTTCCTTGCATATATAGGCTTTTCATTGCAATGGCCTCTCTTGTGGAGCATCTGCCCTAGGACGCAGGGGCTTCAGTAGCTGATGCGCTCGCCTCTAGAGCACAGGCTCAGTAGTTGTGGCATATGAGCTTAGTTGCTCTGAGGTATGTGGGATCTTCAGGGACCAGGGACCGAACCTGTATCTCTTGCACTTCAAGGCAGATTCTTAACCACTGGATCAACAGGGAAGCCCCATCAGTACAGTCCTTATTATGATATTTAATGGTTTCATTTGTGAAATTTCATCAAGTCCAAAATGTGTATGTGTATAGTTTCTGAAACTGAGTCATGTCTTTTCCACCAATCTTTATATTTACTATGTAGAGCCCACCCCTGGGGGAAAAAAAGTTATCTTCACTCACAGATGCCTCCCTCACTACCACTTTTTAAAATGTGTTTTTTTTAAAAAAAATAAATAAAATGTGTTTTTAAACAAAATTTTTAAAAAAGCATAATACATTTTAAAAAGTGAGTGTTTGATGGAAAGCTCTTGGTATAATAAGAAGCATTCCGCTTCTAAGAGACCAACCAAAGTAAAACCACATCTTTTAAATTAACTCCTCCAGGTAATTCCTGTCTTCAGTTCTTTTTCTCACTGGAAAGTAATAGGAGCTCCTGAATGCCTTGAGGGCATCTTTCACACTGATACAGCCCCATGGGGGAAGTGAAAGCTGCTTTTCCTAGCTGGCTGGCTTACTTTGTAAGAATACAGTCCTCAAACCAGGTATCTAGCAGTCCCGAAGCATGCTAGAGGCTTGGGACTGGGAGTGGTAGGGAAGTTGGAAGGAAGTTCCCAGCCAGGGATTCTGAGGATTTAGGATACTGTATATCCACTATAACCCCTCCTCTCCGTCATTTTTTAAAGGGTCTTTTAATTTTTCTTTACTTATCTGGCTGTGCCGGCTCTTAGTTGCGGCTTGAGGGATCTTTAGCTGCAGCATGTGAACTCTTAGTCACCACATGTGAGATCTAGTTCCCTGTTGTTGTTACTCAGTTGTGTCTGATTCTTTGCAACCCCATGGCCTGCAGCACTCCAGGTTTCCCTGTCCTTCACCATATCCCGTAGTTTGCTCAAACTCATGTCCATTGAGTTAGTGATGCCATCCAACCATCTTGTCCTCTGTCAGCCACTTTTCCTCTTGCCCTCAATCTTTCCCAGCATCAGGGTCTTTTCTAATGAGTCGGCTCTTCACATCAGGTGGCCCAAGTATTGGAGTTTCAACGTCAGCATCATTCCTTCCAGTGAATGTTCAGGACTGATTTCCTTTATGATTGACTGGTTTTATCAAAGGGACTCTCAAGAGTCTTCTCTAACACAGTTTGAAAGCATCAATTTTTCAGTGCTCAGCCTTCTTTATGGTCCAGCTATCACATCCATACATGACTACTGGCAAATCCATAGCTTTGACTATATGGACCTTTACTGGCAAAGTAATGTCTCTGATTTTTAATACGGTGTCTAGGTTTGTCATAGATTTCCTTCCAAGGAGCAATTGTCTTTTAATTTCATGGCTGCAGTCACCATCCACAGTGATTTTGGAGCCCACAAAAATAAAATCTGTCACGGTTGCTGTTGTTTCCCCATCTATTTGCCATGAGGTGATGGGACTGGATGCCATGATCTTAGTTTTTTTAATGTTGAGCTTTAAGCCAGCTTTTTCACTCTCCTCTTTCACCTTCATCAAGAGGCTCTTTAGTTCCTTTTCCCTTTCTGCCATAAGGGTAGTGTCATCTGCATGTCTGAGGTTATTGATATTTCTCCTGGCAATCTTGATTCCAGCTTGAGCTTCCTCCAGCCCAGCATTTCTCATGATGTACTCTGCATATAAGTTAAATAAGCAGGGTGACAATATACAGCCATCAGGTACCCCTTTCCCAATTTGGAACCAGTCTGTTGTTCCATGTCCGGTTCTGACTGTTACTTCTTGACCTGCATACAGGTTTCTCAGGAGAGAGGTAAGATGGTCTGGTATTCTATCTCTTTAAGAATGTTTCATAGTTTGTTGTGATCCACATAATTGAAGGCTTTATCATAGTCAATGAAGCAGAAGTAGATGTTTTTCTGAAATCCTCTTGCTTTTTCTATGATCTAACAGGTGTTGACAATTTGATCTCTGGTTCCTTTGCTTCTTCTAAATCCAGCTTGTGCATCTGGAATTTCTCAGTTCACATACTGTTGAAGCCTAGCCCTTGAAGGACTTTGAGCATTACCTTGCTAGTATGTGAAATGAGTAAAATTGTATGGTAGTATGGATGTTGTTTGGCATTGCCTTTCTTTGGGATTGGAATAAAAACTGACCTTTTTCCAGTCCTGTGGCCACTGCTGAGTTTTCCAAATTTGCTGACATATTGAGTGCAGCACTTTTACAGCATCATCTTTTAGGATTTGAAATAGCTCAGCTGGAATTCTATCACTTCCACTAGCTTTGTTCATAGTGATGCTTCCTAAGGCCCACTTGACTTCGCAGTCCAAGGTATTTGGCTCTAGGTGACGGATCACACCACTGTGGTTATTCAGGTCATTAAGATCTTTTTGTAAAGTTCTTCTGTGTATTCTTGCCACCTCTTCATAATACCTTCTGCTTCTGTTAGGTCCTTACCGTTTCTATCCTTTATTGTGCCCATCTTTGCATGAAATGTCCCTTGGTGTCTCTAATTTTCTTGAAGAGATCTCTAGTCTTTCCCATTCTATTGTTTTCCTCTATTTCTTTGCATTGATCACTGAGGAAGGCTTTCTCATCTCTCCTTGCTATTCTTTGGGACTCTGCATTCAAATGGGTATATCTCTCCTTTTCTCCTTTGTCTGTCAGTTCTCTTCTTTTCTCAGCTATTTGTAAGGCCTCCTCAGACAACCATTTTGCATTTCTTTTTCTTGGGGATGGTTTTGATCACTGCCTTCTGTACAGTGTTACGAGCCTCCGTCCATAGTTCTTCAGGCACTCTGTCTATCAGATCTAATATCTTGAATCTATTTGTCACTTCCACTGTAAGGAATTTGATTTAGGTCATACCTGAATGGTCTAGTGGTTTTCCCTACTTTCTTCAATTTCAGTCTGAATTTGGCAGTAAGGAGTTCATGATCTGAGCTGCAGTCAGCTCCTGATCTTGCTTTTGCTGACTGTGTAGAGCTTCTCCATCTTCGGCTGCAAAGAATATAATCAATCTGATTTTGGTGTTGACCATCTGGTGATGTCCATGTGTGGAGTCATCTCTTGTGTTGTTGGAAGAGAGTATTTGCTATGACCAGTGTGTTCTCTTGGCAAAACTCTGTTAGCCTTTGCCTTACTTCATTTTGTACTCCCAGGCCAAACTTGCCTGTTACTCCAGGTATCTCTTGACTTCCTACTTTTGCATTCCAGTCCCCTATGATGAAAAGGACATCTTTTTTTGGTGTTAGTTCTAGAAGGTCTTGTAGGTCCTCATAGAACTGTTCAACTTCAACTTC